GACCTCTTACGATCCTCGGACCTCTTACGATGCATCCTATGATACATACATAGGAAGCKTACCTTAMGATAGGTACRTAGGAATGGTATGATACTTCATTCCTTTCTTCGGAGCTTCGTATCGTATACTTYCTTTCAATACGTACGTATCCTATCCAGTACGTACGTATCCATTGCAATCGGTAGTTCTAGTATTAAACTTATGACGCTACCAACTCTTCAATTCCTATATTCACAAACAGCAAGAAGAGCACGAGCAGTGCAGAATTTTGATCCCTACTATTCTATTGTAGGATACTAGAAAAATTGATAGTTCAAATAGTGGAGGAAACAAAAAGAGTTATGGTGTCTGTCCTCTGTCTTAAGTTGTTTGTTGGTCTCAGCCGTTTTCGCTTAGCGCTTATGGATTGGTACTCAGTACGCCTTCGTGTTTTGATATCACTAAGAGTATCTCAGAGATTTTCAGCTACTAATTTCTATCGCTCACCGTGATAGTCATTCCAAATCATCCCCAGGTGTGACATCGCATAGAATTGGATTCGTACATCAGCAGGACAATACTTTTCTCGTAGAGCCAAACCTGCGTCGCATCATGTTCTTGCCATTGTTGTCTCGCTGTTGCTTTAAGCGGATGAAACACGTTTGGTCAGCACTACTGGTTCGTCTTCCCGCATCGACGATACTTTCCGAGTAATTCGCTCAGCAGCCAGGCGTTTTTCGCAGTTGATCGAGAACTTCTGGATTGCTGCCCAAGTTCGTTCCTCCTGAAGTTTGTTCTCTGCGAGTGCCTTCCAGAAGGAACCCGGGATATGCGTCTTTGTGGTCTCGATCCACTCGGGGCAAAGCGCTTCGGCAACACGGCTCCGGCCCTTGCAAAGGGGCAATTCGGCGATGGCATTTATGCTGTCTCTTGAAGAATCAGAAGCATAGTCGTAGCATCGGTATCCCACCCACAGCGAAAACATGCCCTCTACGACGGTGGCTGGTGGCAAAGCATGGTGCACGCAAGGAGTGACATGCCAAGGAGACAAAAGGAAAACAGATTGGAAAGACCGGTGCACAGATGGAAGTGAAAAAAGGCTGAGCATCGATCAACTGATTTACTGACGCTCGATGGAAATTTCGTTTCTGGTGCAGATAGAAAATTCAAAAGTCTATTTTCCTGTTGTCTATATCCATGTGGCTTTGAATACTAATGCGACGGAGTATGGTACGTACCAAAACCCTTCTGGAAGTTGTCCGTCCCGACCCTTTTCCCCTCTATCTCGGCCTCATATAAGACCTTTGCTTTGGCACTTCCAAACACCGCAGAGACAGCACGCCTGCTGCGGGCAAATCGGAGCGATGCCAGTGTTGCCGCTGTTGCTCCGATGCCCGTGGCAAGATTCTTGACTTCGGTTTGAAAAATCTGGTTCAGCAACCGAGCTTCGTCTTCAAAGTGGCCGTCGCTATCGTTACCACGAATTGCATCGCCGTTGCCTGAATTTCCTTGTAAGGAACCCCGATGCTTTTGGAGTATTGACGAGTATAGCTTCCTATATTCACCTTGCTTTAGTAGCAACTTCCTGATTTCATGGTCGTCGTTCATGGTTCTCTATTGTATACTCCAAGAAAAGAAGAACAGCACGATACTGTCTTTCCCGAGAGAGTGGTCCTGGCCACTCAAACCTTCAATACGGGCCTCACAATCTTTCACGTCTTTCGATAATGACCAACAATGTACGGAAAATCAGTGATCATGGCATCAATTTCTCCTTTCCGATGTTCTGTTTGCTGTGTCCTCAGTCCTCGTATCGTACGGTACGGTAGCACAATCTACAGGATACAGGATCTAAGCATTCTCACGAAAGAAGCGCGCCATTTTCCAGCGCTCGGGAATGCTATCAAGGAAACGTCAAACCTCGCAGGAACCATGTCGATTTCGATGTTTTTCGAAAAATTTAAATTCTCCGGTCCCCTTTTTTCCATTATGTGATCGGTTTTGATCACAAAAAACTGTGATCAGAAATGATCACAAAATTGATGAATTTCTTGATCACAATTTTTTGTGATCAGTTTTGATCACTGCAATGGATACGTACGTACTGGATAGGATACGTACGTATTGGAAAGGAAGTATACGTACGATACAAAGCGTACAAGGAGGAATGAAGGAGCATACCATTCCTACGTACCTATCGTAAGGTACTGTTTATTGCACGAGATTACGTGTACTTAGTAGGTGTTTAAGTGTGTATGAAAGTTGAATTATAAGATTAGAATTATTCGTAGAATACCAAGCGCGTTCACGAGAATTCCGAAGTTCCGATCAGAACCTCATGTAGACCTGGTAGGGAACCTACATGGAGGTTCTCTATTCCGGACTCGTGACATCTCTATTCTTCGTGAGGTA